CTGCAGAGGGCGCCAGCTCCAGCCTAGGTGATCCAGAACTCAGCCTGTGCTTCTCCTTCCCTCCCCCAGGAAGGCAATGGAGGGGCTCCTTGCCCTCAGTGAAGATGGCTGCTCCCCCATCTCCATCCAGCAGATGGCCTATGGTGCGTTTCCCGAGGGATGGCTCAGGTGGTACCTGGGCAAAGAAGGCTTTTGGGGACACCGGGACCCCTGCAGAGGAAGGGAGGGGGTCAGGAATTCCTGGGGTGCTGGGAGGGGAGCTTGAAGGTGGGCCCCTGCTGGTGAGCGCATCCCTCAGCCCAGAAGGAAGCCCCATCCCAGGGTCAGTGGACGGGATGGGGAGACGGATGTGGCCAAAGGCCCTGCTGGATTGGGGAATAGATTGGCCCTTCTGGGCCCTGCTCAGGCCTGCACCTTCTCTGCCCACAGTGGCCGGGCTGGGGTTTGGACTCATGAGCGGTGCCTTTGCCATGATCAACCTGCTGGCGGATTCTCTGGGGCCTGGCATCGTGGGCATCCACGGAGACTCCCAGCTCTACTTCCTGACTTCAGGTACAGCTGTCCCTGATTGGGTGGGGGGAGGCCTTCTCCAGCCCCCCCCCTCACTGTCTCTGTCCCCACAGCCTTCATGACACTGGTGTTGATCCTGCTGCACACCTTTTGGGGCATCGTCTTCTTCCATGGCTGTGAGACGCGGCGCTGGGGAGAGGTGGCAGCTGTGGTGCTCTGCCATCTCACCGTCTCTGCCCTTGTGAGTAGCACCCCTAAAAATGGCTATGTGTGTGTGTTTGGAGACAGAGAACAGGGACTGGTAGGCTGCAGCAAACATGCCCCCCAGCTGGCACCTTCCAGGCCTGTCTCTGCTTTAGCTGCCCCAATGAATGGACCCACATCCCCTGTTGCCAGGGAGGGTCTTAGTCCTTGTGGCATTTTAGTATTGTGATGCTGTCTCCCAAGCCAGGCAAGCCAAGCCCCTCCCCCCTGGATTGCCCCAGCTCTGCTGGCTCTTCCTGCAACAGGGTCCTGATGACAGCCAGCCCCTGGCAAGCAGCTTACAGGGGGGCGGCTGTAGGCAACTCCGCCTCCTCTGTGGAGCTGTGGTGCCCCTCAGCTGGGCTGCTCTCCAGCCTCAGGGGAAGGCGAAGGGCTTCCCATTTCATTTCTGGGAACCCTCAGGCATGGAGATGGGGGTGGGAGGCCTCCCTGTCAGAGGCTGCCGGGAGGGCTGACCCACCTCTGTTTCTCCTTGCAGACCTTCTGGAACCCGGTCTACTTGGGCAGCCTTTTGCCAGCATACCTGCTCATGGTGGCCATGGCGGTGTGGGCTTATCATCTCTCCGGAGGCTCCAAAAAGAACCTGCAGCACTTCCTCCTGTGTGAGTGTCATCCCAGCTCCTGCCCAAGGTCCCCCTCCCCACTGTGCCATTACCCCTGGGGTAACACTCCCCCGCCCCCACCTGGCTCAGTTGGCTCAGCTCTCTCCCAAGTGCTGCACTCCCATTTCACAGGCCTACGGACCGCACCCCAGGCAGGATCCTGAGCCTTCCAGCCACCTTGCCAGGAAGCTGGGCCCCAGGCTCTCCGGAGGGCATCGGATGATTGTGCCCTTGGAACACAGGGGCTGAAGATGGGACTAGGGCTGTGGAATGGCTGCCCTCAACCAGCCCCAGGAAATCTGTCTGCCCTTTGCCGTCCTCTTGAATCTCGCTGCATCTCCCCTTTGGCTCCTGATACTTATTGGGGTGGGAGGGGAAAAGGGGTGCTGGCCAAGCAGCCAGGTGATCTATACGGCACAGAGAAAGTGTCTTTGATCTGCTGCTGCTCTCGGGAAGAGGGGTTGGGGTGGGGGGGATCACCCAGTCTTGCGTTGCTTGAAAGCCGAGAGCAGAAGCTGAACAGAGCTGTGGCTTCCTTTCTTAAGTAGTACCAATAAAGAGACTGGCTAAAAGCTTGTGTTTGTTCAGGGGTGGGGGGCTAGGGCAGATGGCCTTGGCCTCCTGTGAGGTCTTTGCTTGATCAGCTGGTGTGGCCATAACTCTGCAAAAGGGCCACCTGCCATCAACATGGTGAGCTGGGTGGATGAGCAGAGAGCGTCTGGCAGCTTCTGAGACTGCATCAATGAAGTCAACATCTTGGGGAGCCTCTGGGACAGAGATGTGGGGGCAGCGTAGTAGTCACAAAAGAGCCTGTAGAGGGGAGCCATGGCTTGATGTAAGCCAATCCTATGTGGTTTGTTGCAGGCTCAGTGTATTGCATGAACTGCAGCCAGGTTGATTCTGCCACTGTCCTAGTCCTGTCCTGTCCCCTCCCTAACTGAACAATCTTTTAAGTCCCTTCAGTCTTTTGCTTTGTTGGCTTTCTTTTCTGGTGCCCATCTCATCCAATGTGGGGCATCATTGGCTTCTTTGAAGCAAGTCACCTTCTGGCACCCTTGCTGGCACTGGATGCTTTGCAGAGCAGGCACCATGGGGGGGGAGGGGGAGCTTTTGTAGCAAGGTACCAATGCTGGCAGCCTTAAGTTGGCACAAACACCTTGGTCAGCTCAGTCTCTCCCTCCCACCACCCGCTTTCTCTGGCATTGAGAAACATGCTGCCCACGCTGAACAGGCAGGTGATCCTCGACTTAAAGCCTCAATTGGGATTAGAGTTTTGATTGCTAAGCAAGGCAGTTAAGTGACTTGTGTCCAATTGTGCAATCTTTTTGCCACAATGATTAAGTACCGTATTTTCCGGCGTATAAGACGACTTTTTAACACATGAAAATCTTCTCAAAAGTCGGGGGTCATCTTATATGCCGGGTGTCGTTCTCCTGTAACCAGGCAGACCAGCCCGAAAGGCTCTGACGAGCCTTAAGTGGCTCTGGCGATCCCAGCTCTGACGATCCCAGCTGAGTTCCCTGCAACTCAGCTGGGATGGCCAGAGCCATGTAAAAGATAAAAAGTTTTCCCCCTCCAGTTTGCTTACCTCAGCTGCTAGTCCCAACGCTTGCCTTGCTTCGCTTGCCTGAATCTATTCCATCAGCAACTAACTCCCTGCCTGCAATCAAGCAAGCAGGGAGTTGTGGACTTCAACTCCCAAAATTCCTCAGCCAGCAAAGCAAAGCTGGCTGAGGAATTCTGGGAGTTGAAGTCTACAAGTCTTAAAGTTGCCAAGGTTAGAGACCCCTGTTCTATTGGGTAAGTTTTTTTCCCCTTTGGGAGCTTTAAAAAAAATAGTCAATTGGGTTTTTTTTAGTTGTTCTTTTTTAGACCTAGCCATTTAAAGTTTAGGAAGTTTTAAATTTAGCTTTCATATAAAAATAAAAATAAAATAAAATAATATTTGTGCAGCTTTCTGAGATTTAGTGTGTTTCTGTAGTGTTTCACTCTAACTACACAAACACACAAAATCTCAAAGCTGTATGTGGAATTTTGTGTGTGTAAAGTGTGAAAGTTGGTTTTTTGGGGTTTTTGTGGCTGTATGAAGTTCCTGCTTGTTGCAGGGGCCATTTTGGGACTAGCACAGCTGCTTTTACATTGTGGGTGAGCCAGTTGTGTTGTGTGTGTGTGTAGAGTGAAAGTTTTTTGGGGGGCTTTTTGTGGCGGTGTGAGGTTCCTGCTTGTTGCTGGGGCCATTTTGGGACTAGCACAGCTGCTTTTACATTGTGGGTGAGCCAGTTGTGTTGTGTTGTGTGTGTTTAGAGTGTGAAAGTTTTTTGGGGGGGCTTTTTGTGGCTGTGTGAGGTTCCTGCTTGTTGCAGGGGCCATTTTGGGTCTAGCACAGCTGCTTTTACATTGTAGGTGAGCCAGTTGATGTTTTTTAATTTTTATTTGGTGTGCATTGGAAGAGGGGTAGTCTTATATGGCGAGTATAGCCCAAACCCTATATTTTAACAGGAAAAGTTGGGGGTCGTCTTATACGCCCAGTCGTCTTATACGCCGGAAAATACGGTAAATCATTGCAGTTGTTATGTGGCTGCTAAAGTAATCTGGCTTCCCCGTTGACTTTGCTTGGCAGGGAAGGTCACCAGCAGCAATTACGTGATGACGCAACCATCATGAATACATGCCAGTTGCCAAGGGCCGAATTTTGATCATGTGACTGTGGCCATTGTAATTTCAGACACTTGCTAAATGAGCAGCATAGCATTAGCAATAGTACTTAGACTTATATAACACTTCAGTTCTTTCCAGCCATCTCTAAGCGGTTTATAGAGTCACCCTATTGCCCCCAACAATCTGGGTCCTCATTTTACCGACCCCGGAAGGATGAAAGGCTGAGTCAACCTTGAGCCTGGTGAGATTTGAACTGCCAAATTGCAAGCAGCCAGCAGAAATAGCCTGCAGTACTGCTTTCTAACCACTACGGCAATGAATAGTTGTAAATTGAGGATTACCTGTAAATGGAAGACTTATTTTCCTCTGAGGATCTGCCACTTCCGTTTTATAATCTTCAAGCCATCTTGTGGCAATCAGTTCCACAGGAGAATTGTGTGGCATCTGCTGAAGCCCTTCTTTTCTTACAGTAGGCCAAATAGAAGATGCCAATAGCCGTGGTGGTTTGGGCTTTAGCATTATGAGACTTCTTCATAGTTCATGCATCATTCTAATTTTTTTTCCTGTACATCTCTCCTGGATGTTTTTTTAAAAATTGGCCTGGTCGAGTGGCACTTTTACTCAGTTTGGAGGGGAGGGGCAGGTCATCCTTTGCCTGCAGCTGCTTCAGACAATTCCCTTCACCTGCCCACCTGCCTACAAACTGGGAAGGGGCCTTGGGTAGCCTCTGCTTCTGCAAATGGAGGAATCCCCTGTAAAATCGTGGTAGGGAAGGTAGCCCTGATTCACAGGCTGATTCCTCCCTCTGCCTTGCCTACTATTTTCCCAGACCACTTTGGCAGAGCCAACAGATACCAACGTGTTCTACCTTGCACATTTGCTTTGCAAGGGGCTGCCTCCCAACAACTCTTTGTTTAAAGGTCATATTGGAGTGGCTTGGGGAAAGTAGCACATTCCCAAAATAAATCTTTTTTAGAATCTGATTTCATTTGGATTATGTGTGAAGGTTGAGAGTTGGCAGGTTTCAGGCCACTGCCATCCGGCAGTCATGCAATGAGCTTGCGAAGAACAGTCAGTCGGCCGAGGGGCAAGGCTGCTGTGTTTGTGCAGGCCATAAAGAAGCCATTAATCAGATCAGTCCAGCTTTTGGCCAATGAGGCTTCCCAACGAGAAGGGTGTGTGAGAGAGAGCGCGACATGACCCAGAGTCTCTTCCCTGCCTTTCTGTGGCACCAGCCCTCTACAAAGCCGATGGGCAACCCTTATGCCAAGAAGGCTTCCTGGCAGCCAGGCAGGTGCTGCCACAGTTGGAGCAGCCTGTGGTTTCCTGCTGGAGAGTCTGAAGGTAAGTCACAGGTTTCTGGCTAGAAGCGTCTCAGGAGCATAGTGGTCTGCATTTTAGGCAGGTGGCCTCGCTTTTCCATGAGTCCGGAGGGGAGCCTTCTCAGGAATGGCCGCCCCTCTTGTCTTTGAACTGCTCTTCCTCTGGCTGGCCTGAGCACCACCCCAGCTGCTAGCAGGGGAGGAGGGGGAGGCTCATGGGGCTTTGAAGAGGATGGGGCAGGAAGGAGCTCCATGAGTGAGGGGCAGAGTGTGGCCTGTGGGCTATCAGCTACAGTGCATGCTCATCAGTGGAGGCCAGAGTGTAGAGGGCAGCAGGCTTTGTGGCTTGTTCCCTGCAGAGAGAAAAAGGAACGGGTGACATCGGAATCGCTCTCCTTCCCACCTGCTTGGCCTTCCTTGGGGGCCCCTGCATCGTAGTTGGGCACGCACAGAAGCGGACGAGCACATGGGCCAAGCAGGAAGCAGGGCTCCACAGGGCTCTCCTCCAGAGGTGGCTGTGCTGTCTCCCGCTGTGGGGCTTTCTCACCTGCTTGCCTGCCTCCGGTGCTTGTGAACGAAGAAGAGGAAGGCAAGCGCTGTGGCCGCAAAGAGGGATCCAAAGAGAATAGCCAGAATGTCCCCTGCAGAAAAAGGTCCCCTGATGAATCCCCCATGGGAGAGAGAAAGCCAGCTTGGGGGAGGGGGCGCATATGTTGGTGTTTGAAAAGTTTTCAGACTGCAGCCCCGCAGACCCAGCCGGTAGGAATATTGTTGGGAATTCACATGCAGCAACCTCTCCCTCCCCCCTGCACCCCAGTGGCTGCCTAACCCCTCCCCAGTTCTGTTCAGGCTTCAGAGGCAGGTGAGTTACCTCTGGGAGCCCTGTGGAAGGTCCTGGCCTTTTTCTGGGCACAGGAGTTGCCCCAATTGCTGATGGTGTTGCCATCACACTTGCAGTGGGAAAGGAGAACTGGCAGGCCAATTGGAAGCAGATGCCCAGGTGCTTACCTGTGTGAAGGGAGATGCCCACCCGCTTCTCCGCATCTGGAAGCAAAGCAGAAAGAACAACCAGAGTAGCTCAGAGGTTGGGAAGAAGTGAATCCAAACCCCCTGCAAGCTGCCTTTCTTGGGTTGGAGTTGCCCAGAGCCCCACCCGCTGAGAGTTGGGCAGCAAATGCTCATAATAAATTGCTATGGTTGCTTGCGAGAGAGCGAGCTTGGGTCACATGAGCTATAGCTGGGCAAAGGGTAGTAAAAGTGGCTGGGCCTGGGTGGTGCCCAAGAAGTAAACTCCCTGTGCCAGCCTGATTCACGCCACCAGAAGAGAAGAACCGAACTGAAGCCTAAACTGCCAGCAGCCCAATTGCAGCCCAGCCTGCAGGGCCTGTGTGAATGGTGACCATACTGCCAAGGTAGCAGCTTCAGTTCTGCTTCCTGCCAGTTAAGCATCATGCCCAAAGGGGACATTTGCGCTGTTCTCCCCCAGGAGGTATTTTGACCCCACAGCCTCTACCTTCCTTGGCTCCAAGTCCAGCTGAAGGTGACCAGTGGCTGCTCCTTCTGAGACCCACCTACTCTTCCCTGTGCCCAGTGAGGGCTTCTGATCTGAAACAGGCAGCGGGATGGAAGCAGCCCAGTGCTCGTGGGGGAAGGGAGACGACCTCACGTCTTCTTCCTCCTCTGGGCTGGAGCTGAAGGGCTCAACCCAGAGTGGCCACAAATCACTCAGAATGTGTCCAGAAGCCATTTGGCAAGACTTTGGCTCCCCAACACACACATACACACACACACCAACCAGCTTCTAGATTGTCATTGAAGCAAAGAAGGAGGCAGCCAGCTGACCCTAACCCAGCCTGGTGTGGCCAGGTGAGTACCTTTTCCAGAAGTCGGGTCAAGGCCATCTCTTGGGGCGCCATCTGGCAGAGGAGAGGAGAGAACTCCGCCTAGAGGGAGATAGCAGGGACTCAAACCTCTTTCTGAGTCAGCTTCTCCCTTGCTCTTCCTCTGCTCCTCCCCCCTCCCCCAGCAGAAGCATCCAGGTCTAGCTGCCTATCAGGATTGGGGTGGGGGGGGAGGAGTTTCCTTCTTGCATTCTGGGTTGCAGCTGAAAGGCACCTTCCTAAGCAGCTTGAACCAAGGCCAGTGGCTGCATCCCCACAACAGAGGTTTGAAAAATTTGGGGCATATGGCAGCCTCCCATCCAGCTTTTCAATACTCCCTTTAGTCCTCCTAGTGGCCACCAGGGGCAGGAGCTTGGGGGGGGGGGAGATAAAGCAAAGTGGTCTCTGTGAGGACGGTTGGGAAAGTACTCCCCCTGCCTGTTTCTGCCACTACTCCAGACTGAGGGGAGGCATTTCTTCCTGGCCTCTCCAGGAAGTTGACCTGTGGGTAGAGAATGAAGGAGCCCCCAACAAGACCGGCTAAACCCTTGGGCTTAATTAGCTGGGTTGGGGACTTTGCCCGGCACAACCTTGTCGGGCAAGCAGCACCAGTACCCTGCATGAAATGAATCACCAGGTTAATTCAACGATCAGGTTAAATGTAAAAAAACAAGTTTCACCTTGGGGAACAGAAGGGGTTCAGCTCTGAACCTCTAAGCAAAAAGCAGCCCCGCCCCCACAAGCCCGGCCAGGAAGAGCCAGGGATTCTGGAACAGTACCTGCTTTGGGTTCCGCCTGGTCCCCTCCCTCTTCCGAAGGCCCTCCACCTGCAACACACAAAAGAAAGTCAGCTGCACACGCCCAGAGCCAGATACACTGAGTCCCTGCTCCGCTCCTCTCAGTTCTCCTGGGCAGGTCTCCAGAGACCCCTCCCCCGTCCGGGTACCCCCACCCAGGGCAGATTCCCCTGCCTCCGGAAAGGGAGCCCCGCCTGGGCATGCTGGCTCTCAAGAGGGTTGATAACCACAGGAAGGAATGCCTTTAGTCAGGACCTGGTCTTATCGCACCCTCCCGTCCCCCTTTTCCGACAAAAAGTCCGAAAAACCGCACCCGCACACCGGTTTTGCTGTCCTGGCTCGTTCGCTTACGTGCGCGTGTGTCCGAATGCGGGCACACGCACGCGGAGCCAGCCCAGGAACGCTTCAGACCCCATTTTAATCGCTCCATCCAGGACACAAGCGGCCTGGGGGAAGGGGGGGGGGAGCGAGTCCCCTGCCTATCCGAACCTCAGCGGGAAAGGGGATGGCCGTGAGTCTCCCGCGGTGTTTTAGGTAGGGATAGATATTTGTACAGCCGCCCATCTCGCAGGAAGGTGACTCTTCGTTTCAGTCGAGGTTCCCGTCGGTCGAAAGCAGAGAGGCCGAGTTAAGCCAGCGCCTGCCCCAGTTGGCCGTTCGGGAGAGCCCCGAGGGCCAGAGCTGAGGCTGGGAGCCCTAGAGAGGGTCGCTCCGCGGCTCCGGCTTCTCTCGCTTGCCAAGGAGGGTCAGCGCCCTTTGCTGCCCGGGCGGGCCTGGGATGCAGCTTGGCCATTGTCGCCCTGGGGAGGAGCCGGGCAAACGTTCCTTCCGCTTGGCCAAAGGAGCTTTGGTCCGGGCCAGGTGCCGCCTTTGACTGCCGGCGTCGCTGATAAGGCGCGGGGAGGAGGGAGCGGCTTGTGTGCTTTTCAGGGCTGCGGCAGAGGCTGGGCAAACGCAGCAGCCCGTGGCGGGCGAATCTTGAATCCGAGGCGGGGGGGGGGTGGTGGTGGTGGTGCAAGGAGAGGCCAGGCACCTTGTTACTCATATCTTGGTCACCTCCTGCTTCGATTACTGTAATGCACTCTATTTGGGGCTGCCCTTGAAGTCCCCCTCAGAAACTTCAACTGGTCCAGAATGTGGCAGCTTTTGCGGTGATGGGTTGCTGCCATGGCTCCTGGTTTCTTTCAGGTGCAATTCCAAGGGCTGGCCCTCACCTTGAAAGCCCTCCATGGCACAGGACCAGGCTATCTGCAGGACCTCCTTTCTCTTCCAGGTCAGTTAGGCTGGGCATGCTTCCAGTCCGTTCCCTTAAATATTGCCATCTGATGGGAACCAGAGAGGATGCCTTTTCAGTGCCCCATGGGTCACTTTCCCCTTGAAGGCCTCCTCTGTTCTCCTAGCCTTCTGTGAAGCACTGAGGACCTGGGTTTTCCCCCCAAGCGCTGGCGGCAGATGAGATGACTGCACACTGGAACCTTGATTTGGTACCAGGTTTATCTTTTTCTTTCTTTCTTTCAATCACTTCTATAGCCACCTATATTTCAACCAACTCTGGTCAACTCCTGAGTTTTTAATGTGTTTGGGTTTTATAGTTTTAATATTTATTTATTTATTTGATTTGATTTCTATACCGCCCTACTCCCGAAGGACTCAGGGCGGTGCACAGCCAAACAATAAAATACATACATACAAAATTTAAAAGTGGAATTAAAATCAAATTAAATAGTTTTGGCCCAAACAAAACCCCAATCAATTTAAAACCAATTTTAAAATTTGAATATATAAAATACTAAAAAATATTAAAAATTAAAAATTAAAAATCTTTTATAAAAGAGGGAGAAAATTAGGCCAGGCCCGCCTGGTGAAATAAAAAGGTCTTTAAGGCGCGGCGGAAGGTGCGCAGATCCGGGATCCTCCGTATCTCCGGGTGGAGCTTGTTCCAGATAGTAGGTGCCCCCACAGAGAAGGCTCTCCCTCTGGGGGCCACCAGTCAGCATTGTTTGGCCGACGGCACCCGGAGGAGCCCTCTCTGTGGGAGCGTACCGGCCGGTGGGAGGCTATTGGTGGTAGTAGGCGGTCCTGCAAGTACCCAGGTCCTGAGCCATGGAGCGTTTTAAAGGTGGTAACCAAAACCTTGAAGCGCACCCGGAAGACCACCGGGAGCCAGTGCAGCTCGCGCAGGAGGGGTGTTACATGGGAACGCCATGTCGCTCCCATTACCACCCGCGCGGCCGCACTCTGCGCCAGTTGGAGCCTCTGGGTGCTCCTCAAGGGGAGCCCCATGTAGAGAGTGTTACAATAGTCCAGGCGGGAGGTGACGAGGGCATGAGTGAATGTGCGTAACGAGTCCCGATCCAGAAAGGGACGCAACTGGCGGATCAGGCGAACCTGATGAAAAATCCTCCCGGTCACGGCCGTCAAGTGCTCTTCTAAAGACAGCCATGAATCCAGGAGGACGCCCAAGTTGCGAGCCCTCTCCGTGGGGGCCAGCGATTCGCCCCCAATAGTCAGCGATGGCGTCAACTGACTATATCGGGACGTCGGAAACCACAGCCACTTGGTCTTGGATGGGTTGAGCCTGAGCCTGTTTCTCCCCATCCAGATCCGCACGGCCTCCAGGCACCGGGAAATCACTTCAAGGGCATCGTTGGGGTGGTCTGGCTTTTATGTTGTTTTAATTTTTGATTGGGAGCCACCCAGAATTTGTAGCTGTGTAAACGGCTGTATAAGATGGGTAGCTATATGTTTTAAATAAACAAACAAAATCAATCGGTTCCTGCACTGGCATATTCCTATTCTCACAATGTTCTCAAGATATAGTACCGTAGTTCACCTCTTTGCTCAAATTTTTAACCTTTATATATATACGGTGCCATTTCCGTTTTCCCTGTCAAACACAACTCCTTCCGACACCTGAACTTGCATTCTCCTCCTATCAACACCTTACAGTTCGTCTCGCACAGCAAATCCTCTGTCGCCAACCGATGTCTCTACGGCCGCCCTGCCCCCACCATGGGTTCGCACTTCATTTTACATCCTTTTTTGCCGCAGTTAAGCAAATCACACAGTCATTAAGCAAATCCCCATTGCGAACCAGTAATAAAGGTAAGTAGAACCCACCCCTGTCTCCCAGGTATGGGAAAAAGGTATTTTGCCTCTTTCTCCTTCCCGAGAGATCTCTAGGAAGGTGAAAGAAAGGCATAGATATACCAGCTCCTTCCAAATCAGCTGGGCCAATGGGCAGGCTGGGCTGGCATCTGGCAGCAGTTCTAGGCTGGCTGAGGGCCAGTAGTGCGAAATAAAGGGCCAGCAAGGAGGAGATGCTCTTAGTGAGCAGTTCCCCAAACCGGAAGCAAGGGATGCAGCTGGGTGTACTTCCTGATGTATCTTTCAAGGGGTGTCAGATATTTAGATTTCCTAGTCAGGACTTTTCTTGAACTGGGATAGTTTGGTGATACCAATTCATATATGGATTTGCGCAGATGACTTCTTCATCTTGAAAGTTGCCTCAATCCGTTGCTTCTTCCCAGACTGTCTTTTTAGTTTGGTTCATTATGGTAAATTCAGTCAAGAAGCCCCTTTCATTGTCCACCCATGTTTGAGCCCCTGACCACCCATTTTTAACAAAAACAGCTTAGCCAGAAGGCTGAAGCAGAAGCACAAACCAGGAAAGACTTTCTGGGTCCCAGAAGATGGTGACCGAGTTTCAATTATCGCAATGAGTCACTCTCTCTTTTCACTCCCTGGTGTGGACTTTGCAAGGGAGTGTAAGCAGACTTTGTGTACCTGCCTGATGATGAGGTGCTGGCAATATCTGCCCCTCACCATGCCGGTATAGTTTCACAGGTGGGTGGCAGCATCTCTCTCCAGAGGGGTTGCCCATGAAGACAAGGTAGAAGCTTCAGATGCTCAAACACATTTTTGCCCACTGCTGTCTTGTTTCACCAGTCTGGGGGTGTGGGGGGGGGGAAATACCTGCTTTGTGGCAGCTGGTCAGCCAACTTTCCATGCTGGTTGTTAGAAAATCTTTTTGGTTTGGGTCTCTGCTAGATCATATACTATAGACAGAATCTGTTGTTCCATTACATAGTCATGGGGAATCCCACCGCCCATGAGGTAGAAATGTCCTGCCTCCTGGGATTTTAGCATACAATGAAAGCGGCTCTCTTCCCAAAAAAGGAAGATGGCCATTAATGAAAGGAGGGGAGGCATTCCCACCCACCCCCCACTGGGAGACCAACAACTGCTTCTCCCAGGGACCTCCAGGTTGGACATAGGCATGGATTCCCTGCTCTTTGCTTAGCTGGCTTTGGAGAGAGTTGAGTGGGCTTGAAGGCCCTCTCTAGCTTGGGAGCATTGCCACCTCTGCCTCCCTCCCTGCCTGGGGGTTTCTGTTGCCCTGCAGGCTGCTTATGGGATCCTGAAAGGCTCCTAGCTTGTCATATGGAGAAAACAGAACTGATCCCGTTACCAAAGTGCTTATGCTGACTGTTGGCACTGCCTTGATTTTAAAAAATTAAGAAGTCATATTCTCTGGCCACAAGCTCATGAAAGATTGAAGATATTAAAATAAAGGCCAAGCAATAATGAGAGATTAATCTCCAAAACTTCAAAGTTAATCTTTAAGTACAAAAAAGTACTGGAGAGTCCTGCGGGTGGATTCTGATGGAACTTCCAGAGACGGAGACGGAAGAGGAGGACAAGGTAGGTCAAACCAAGGAAGGAAGGCAAGGTGCCCCCAGAGAGGAAAGAGAACTGTTCCATCTTCAATGCCAAGATGGGCAGAGTTGGATCAGGCCCCAAATGGGCCATTAGGATGATACTGGATGATTTTGGAGTTGTTGTGGTCCGCCAGCATCCTGCGGACCTGGCAATGGCGTCGGATAGTGAGGAGGCTGGGGAGGACAATGGGCCAGTCCTGGAGTCGGGGGAAGGCCCGGACAAGGGATCTGTGTCAGAGGCAGAAATGGGGCCAGGGCCATCTGGAAGCGATGCGCGGACTCTGGAGCCTCCAGAGGCAGACAGCAGAGAGGCAGAGGAACAGGAGGAGCCTGTTCCTAATGCACGCATGTGAAGAACTGCCAGAAGGCAAGAGCAGCTAAAGCAAAAAGGATGACTCGGGAGTAAGGCCAGAAGATGATTGGCCACTCCCATATGGCTTAAAAGAGCAGCAATGAGCCCATTGGGTTCTTTGTAGAAAAGCAACGTTGATTCCAGTGCTTCTTGTCAGCATCTCTTGAACTTTGTGGGGTTTTTGCCAAGAAAAGCCTTTGGCAGGTTGCCAAGACATCAAAGGTTGGTGATAAGGCTGATGGACTGGTTATGAAGAATTTGTTTTGGACTAAGCTGAGAATGAATTAATTCTCAGCTGTTTTAATAAAATAAGTTTATTCAGGACTGAATTGTGTTTGGTAATCACTATTTGGTCACAACAGGAGTAGACTAGAACTGGGCTAGAAAATCTCCAAAGATATCCTTATAAATGTACCGTGTTTCCCCGAAAATAAGACAGGGTCTTATTTTCTTTTGAACCCCCAAATAAGGGCTTGGCCTTATTATCGGGGGGGGGTCTTATTATTTTGCTGGTGCAGGAGGTGGTAAGCATGGGACTGGATGTCCCATTGCTGCCGTCGCCTCCCTTCCCCATTCTTAGTGTTGGCCGCTGCACTGACATCTCCCGCTGCCACTGCTTCCTCGTGGAGGAACTGCATGAACTGCAGCACTGCCACGAGCTTCATTATACTGGCACAGCTGGCGTCTTGCCACTTGCAGCTGTGCCAGTATGTCGAACCTCGCGGCTGTGCTGCAGTTCCTGCATGCAACGGCACAAGCCTTGCAGTATCCTGTTCTACGAGGCAGCGGTGGCGGCGCGGTGAGTCTCACAAAGACTCGTTTCTGGCAGGTAGGGCAGGGAAGAAGTGAGACATGTGGAGCAAGATGTGGCTCCCCTTGCTGTCTCTTCTCCCACGAGAAGAGGGGCAGGAGTTCTCTCATGCCTGGCGGGGGGAGTGGGGCGCGTAGTTGGTGGGGGGGCTTATTTTGCAGGGGTGGCTTATATTATCACATCTCCTGAAAAGCCCAATTGGCCTTATTTTCAGGAAATGTCTCATTTTCGGGGAAACACGGTAGTATTCTGTGTATTGTAATGGAGGTAAGAGAGCAAGAATATGTTGGAGGTGCAAGAAAGAGGTTGGAACATATAAACATATGTGGTGGTATTGTGATAGTGCACAAAAATATGGGACATGGTGTTTAGAGAAATTAGAGAACTTTTGAATATAGATATGTCACCGAGAATAGCATTACTGTTGTTGGTGGAAAAACAAGATATAAATGAAACAAAAAAGGAATTGATTGTAAATTTGATAATGGCAGCTAGATTAGTAATAGCTAAATATTGGGGACAAAATTGGGATATTCAAAGAAACGAGTGGTATAATGAATTTTGGAGTACAGCAACAAATGATAAATTAACAACAGAAATTAAATTTTAAAAGGGGATGATTAAAGTAAACAATTATAATGAAATATAAAAACAGTGTTGGTGGAAGGCAAAAGGAATAAACGTACTCAAGAATATATGTTGTTTTGGAGGGGATAAGGGCACAATTCAGGGGTGAAATGCTACCGGTTCAGACCGGTTCACCTGAACCGGTAGCGGTGGTGCGTAGTTCAGAGAACTGATAGCAGTGGCAGCACGAGGCTCCGCCCACCTGCCCGGATGTCATTACTTTCTGGTTTTAACCAGGAAGTAATCTGTTTTTGACCTTCTGCGCATGCGCAGAAGGCTTTGCGCATATGCAGAGGGTCCAAGCACGCATGTGACACGCACTTCCGAACTGGTAGGGAAGGTAAATACATTTCACCCCTGGCAGAATTGGAATATATTGTATATCTTTTAGTTACTATAGAAGAAGAAATATAAGGAAAAAAGTGGTCTCCGGGGGTGGGGGTGCACTGTGATATTTGTATTTTTTCCTTTTTTTGTATGTAGATGTATATGTACTATGTTTGTATTATTTCCATTTAAAATAAAATTAAAAAAAATAAAAAATAAACATAGTATTCTTGGATTGAAGAATGCTTGTATGTAAGGCTGCTTGACAGGAAATCCTTTTCCTTTTTGAAAACAGGTGGTGTTTGGCTCACTTACCAGGTGGATGAACCTTCTCAAGGGTGTGAAAACTCGAAAGGATGCTCCGGCCATAAAGGTCCTGCAGCAGGCGGAAGTTACTCTGGATAGGCTCGTCATCGTCTCCTTGGAGGGTCTCCTCCAGCATCGAGATCTGCAGTGACAAGGGCCAGTGATGATCACCCGGAGGGGGCAAAGGATTCAAAGGAGGAAGAGAGGAGGACCATGGAGCACAAACCTGTTCCTGGGAGAGCCGAACTGTCTGATTAAAGACTGTCCAGTTCACCGTCTGATAACAAGGTGGGGTGGTCAGTGAGCCATTGTAGCGGAAATAGCGGTCAAAGTCATAAGGAAGCAGCTTGGCTACATCAAAGCCAGCAACTGCAGTTTCCTCTCCTAAGAAAGAAGAAACCTCTGTGAGGATCATGCCAGGAGGATACAGAGAAACACACGGATGTGAGCCACCAAGATGGGCACTGCTGCCTGAAGAGAAGGACACCCCAAAGGTCACCCTAAAAGGTCACCATCTCATTCAGATGAATGGAATGTGGTGATCAGAGACATCGTTGGCACTCACATAAGGAGCAACAGTTGTGGTTAATCGAGGCTATGCCAGTGTGCCCACTTCTTCTGACTTCAGCTCCTTGCCTCATCAGCCCTGCTCTTCTGACTTGGAGGGATGTGTCATGTACTGTAGGCAAGAGATTTTTAAAGGCAGCTGGGGCAGTGCAGAAAAGCCTGCTCATTCTTGCTTTCCTGGCAAGGCATCCTTGATGCAGATGCGCCCCATGGAAATGGTAGCATCGCTCAGTTTAAAAAGATGGACTTGGGGAGAGATTTGTCAATATGATCAAGGCCATAAACAAACAGCAAAAATAATGATAAATGGAGATATGACTGAGAAAGTTAGCATTAAGAAAGGTACAAGACAAGGATGTCTCCTGTCCCCATTATTGTTTATATTGACACTGGATGTACTAAACAGGAACATTAGACAAGATACGGAGATAAAAGGTATGGAGATTAAAAGGGAACAGTACAAGTTACAGGCATTTGCAGATGATCTAGCATTTATTGTGGAAGATCCACTAGTAATAGGGCCTAAATTAATAAAAAAAATAGAAGAATATGGAGAAGTGGCAGGTCTGAAAATAAATGAAGAGAAAACTAAGATTTTAGTTAAACACATTATGGACAAGCAAAAAATAGAGTTAACAAAGAGAATAGATATTTAGATTGTACAGAAAGTTAAGTACCTAGGGATTCAGTTGACAGCAAGATGTGTAACAATTAAAGAAGATAATTATTATAAGTGGCTGGAACAAATTCAAATAGACCTGGAAAAGTGGAAGAACCTACAATTGTCATTTGTAGGAAGAGTAGCAACAATTAAAATGAACATATTACCAAGATAATTGTACTTATTTCAAACAATTCCAATAAAATTGGAAAAAAATTATTTGAGGAACTTAATAAAATAATACACAAATATATTTGGCAAGGGAAAAAAGCAAGAATTGGCCTGAAAATGATGCAAGATATAAGAAACAGAGGTGGTTTTGGACTACCAAACTGGGAGCTTTATTACCAGGCTGCAGTATTAACATGGATGAAAGAGTGGATTGTATTGAGGAACACAAGATTATTGACTCTGGAAGGACACGATTTACAACTGGGGTGGCATGCTTTTCTGTGGTATGGGAAAAATAAGATACATGGATATTTTCAGAGACATTACATAAGAAATGCACTAATGATGGTATGGGAGAAAACTAAAGAACAACATTATTTGAGGATACCAGTCTGGCTTTCAACAATGGAAATATGGATTCACCCAAATGTTATTAATATGGGAAATATTGTTAGATACAAAGACATTTTGAATGAAAAGGGGGAACTGAAAACGAAAGAGGAAATGAGTGAGCAACGGATCAATTTATCATGGTATGGACAAGTGCAGATACATTCTAGATATGAGAAAGATATAAAATCACAGGGTTTTTATAAAGAATCAACAGAATTAGATAAAATATTAACAGGAACATATGAAAGATTAATAAAGAAACTGTATAATTATTTACTGGGCGAAAAGCTAGCAGAGGAACAAGTAAAGGAGACAATGATAGCATGGGCGAAAAATGTTGCTTATACGCAGTGGTGGGATTCTACCAGTTTGCACCGGTTCGGTAGAACTGGTTAAGTAGTTAAGCAGTTCAGAGAATCAGTTGTTAAAAGAAATCTCTTGTTTTTTTCCACTTTACAGAGTTAATCCTGTAAGGAATTACAACATTCTGTGTTGTTTCCTAGCCTAATCTTTATTGCACATCTTACAGAAACTGCCTCTCCGACAGTATGCCTAGACTTACTGTTGCTTCCGGTTCTGGAGGTTCTCAGAGGTTTTTGTTTTGGCTTGACTTTCTTAAAGGGTTAGGGTTGTTTTAAGCTTTTTACACTACTATTGGGAGGAAATACTCCCCTGTTGGAGTTCTTCCAGCCAGGGTGCAATGATCAGCACTTTGAAGAAATAACTGAATAACGAAGCAGAAGCTTTTAATGACAAGGAACCAAGATGAATGACATTCAGCAAGGCTTATTGACTAGCTAGAACGATTGACATTCAAACATGAGTTTACATACCCTTTCTGACTTTTGGTCTAAAACTGGTTTTTGTCGAAGTTTAATTCTGTGCTTGGTGATGTTTAATCAGGTGTTTAGTGATGGGATAATTTTCCCTATTCAGCTTTGATTGGAAGGAAAAATGTGAATCTCTGTTCCTGAAAAGCAGCAGCTTCGATAATCTGATTAGTTCCTGTGTCTATTTGTTCTGGTAATTGGTTTAACAAGCAACAGATACTCTGTTTGCTCCTTAGTTTCATTTAATTTAATTTTAATTTAATTTAATTTCCAATTTATATACCGCCCTTCTCCCTGAGGACTCAGGGCGGTGTACAGCCAAGATAAAAAACAGAATACAAATATTAAAACATTTAAAAATATATATAAATTTTGGCCCGAAAGTTAAAAAATCACAGACTAATTAAAAGAATTTAAAAATTTCTTCTTAAGCCAACCCGGCTTGCTGAAAAAGATGGGTTTTCAGGGAACGATGGAAGGCATTGAGGTCATGGATTCTCCTTATCTCCGGGGGCAATTGATTCCAGAGGGTTGGAGCCCCCACAGAGAAGGCCCTCCCCCTGGGGGCCACCAGCCTACATTGTTTGGCTGATGGCACCCTGAGGAGGCCCTCTCTGTGGGAGCGCACGGGTCGATGGGAGGTCGTCGGTAGCAGCAGGCGGTCTCGCAGATAGCTAGGCCCTATGCCATGGAGCGCTTTAAAGGTGATAACCAACACCTTGAAGCGCACCCGGAAGACCACTGGGAGCCAGTGCAGCTCGCGCAGGAGCGGTGTTACATGGGAGCGCCATGTTGCTCTCATCACTACCCGCGCTGCTGCATTCTGGACCAGCTGGAGCCTCCGGGTGCTCTTCAAGGGGAGCCCCATGTAGAGAGCATTGCAGTAGTCAAGGCGAGAGGTGACGAGGGCGTGAGTGACTGTGCACAAGGAATCCCGATCGAGAAAGGGCTGCAACTGGTGAATCAGGCGAGCCTGATAAAAGGTCCCCCTGGTAACAGCCGTCAGATGTTCCTCCAAAGACAGCTGCCTATCCAGGAGGACTCCCAGATTGCGAGCCCTTTCAGTGGGGGCCAAAGACTCGCCCCCAATAGTCAGTGATGGAGTCAACTGACTATATCAGGATGCCGGGAGCCACAGCCACTCAGTCTTGGAAGGGTTGAGCTTGAGCCTGTTCCTCCCCATCCAGATCCGCACAGCCTCCAGGCACTGGGACATCACTTCAAGGGCATCATTCTGGAGAGCTTAAATGACCTCTCTGCTAAAGGGTTTCACTTGGCTGCTGATAGTTATCACTGCATTTTAACTAATTTCCTCAAGGTGCTCTGGCACTCTCCCTGATTTGTAACTCCAGTTTACAGGTATTTCTAATCTAATGATTGGTATTTAGGGCAGCTTTTTGCAAGCAAAGAAGCTTTTTGTATTTTTGTACAGGTAATCCTTGACTTAAAACAGTTACAATGGCAGTGGAAAAAGTGACTTATGACCGTTTTTCACACTTGTGACCATTGCAGCAAACTGTCATTAGGGCAAAGAAGCAATGCCACATGACAACCTGGCACCGGCCACCCGATCACATGAAGCACCTTAGTTGTGAAATGAGTGACACAGTTGTTAAGAATGCGGCAACGGGCATAAATGTGAGGATAGTCATAAGTGTGAGGGCCAGTCAAAAGTGCGAGGACCGGTCAGAAATGACTTTTTCAGCCCTCTGAGTAGTCCCTATACACATAGCCACGCCCACCTGGTCACATGATCAGCTAGCCACACACCATCGGTCACATGACTTCTAAGCCACGCCCACCCAAATAAACCACACCCACAGAACCGGTTGTTAAAAAAATTGAATCCTACCACTGGTTATACGATAGAACTAGATAAATGGCAGAAACTGTGGGACAGGAATTATACATTAACAATGTCAACTGCATATAAAGAAAATTTATATAAGATGTTTTATAGATGGCATCTTCCACTGGCAAGATTGGCAAAGATCTTTAAAGACAAATCAGCTAAATGTTGGAAGTGCCACCAGATATCTGGATCTTATTATCATATGTGGTGGACATGTGGACAAGCAAAGAAGTATTGGACAAAAATAAAGATGGTTGGAAAAGATGATAAAACAATGTATTGAGTTCAAACCAGAAATATTTTTGTTGGGGATCTTGCCTGAAACTTATAACAAAGAAAATATATATTTAATTATTCATGTATTAATAGCAGCTACAATTGTATTTGCACAATATTGGAAAAGTGAAGAGATTCCTACTGAAGAGAAGGTGATTAGGAAAATATTAGAATGTGCAAAAATGAATAGATTAACACTAGCAATTAAAGAGAAAGAACCAACTGATTATTATATGATATGGGAAGTATTTTACCAATGGTTAGAGGGGGAAAAAGGAAATTGGAAATAAAGGAAGAAGACAATAAGAATAGAAAATATATGAAAATAGAGATAAGAACAAAATGGCAATTGATAATATGAGTATGATGAAAATAAGTATGCTTAATGTTATTATTGTATTTGTACTAGAAGATATGTTATGAAGGAAGTGAAGAGTTACACAAGGTATAATTGTTTAATGTATATAATTTGTGGAAGGATGTTGCACAGAAATATTTGTACTCAGACGACACACTGTTTAAGGAGAGATGGATTGTTTATATATGTTTTTAATGGAAAATAAATAAAAAACTTATTAAAAAAAAGGAAATGGTAGCATCGCCTGCAGGTGACAGCAGCCTTTCTCCTCCCTGGCTCTAGTACACTCAGATCTCCTGCCGGGGGATTTTCTGCTGGGCACAGAGCAGAGAAAGGAGGGGGAACTGCCCCCTCCCCTTTTTACCTTCCTCCTTGATACCACTCAGATGTTTGAGGATGTGCTGATATGGTTCATTTGTTTCCATCCCTACCTGAAATGGGAGACAAAAACAGCAGCAAGAAGTATGTAGGCACTCTGCCTCATATGACCAAGGGCCTGGCTTCTCCAGAGGGAGACTCAGGGGCCCCTGCTTTATGTACAAACAACATCATCCACTGTACATTAAAGAACAAAACTAAGATCTTCTAAAAAAAACCCAATAGACATTTATTGGATCCTCTCTGAAGGGCAGCTGGTGGAAATGCTACTAGTGTTCCAAGGGTCACTCCCACAGCACTGCACCTCCTGGCCCACCCCTCATTTCGTACATACACACACACATATCACCTGCAGAAATGCAGCCAGCACAGCCAACCCTCCTGGCTCACTCGCAGCCTCCTCGAAACTTTCAAAACGGGAGCTATAATGGACCACATGAATCTGGAGGCAAACAGAGAACAGCACTGAGCACGCTCAAGAGGTACCCCTGTTGGTCTCCCGAGGGTGTTTCTGCAGGGTGTTTTGTACTTCATGGGACTGTCAGGATAACCCAAAGCACCTGTGTTACACAACCGCAATAAAACCCTGGGAGGAAATCACATTCCACCTCTGTGCCGCCCCCCTCCCCCCCCCCCGTGAGGTAGCGGGAGGAAACTGGAGTTTCAAGCTCCTGGAAAATAGTTATAGTTACAGTTATAGTTTATTATATTTATATACCGCCCCTCTCCCGAGGGACTCGGGGCGGTGAACAGCCAGCAAATAAAATACACAGATACAAAATTTAAAACAATATTAAAATCCAATTAAATCAATTTGGCCCATAGTTAAAAACCCTATATTAAAACCCCTAATTTTTTAAAAACAATTCTTTTTAAAAAGAGTAGGTCAGGCCAGCCCGGCTTGATGAAACAAAAACGTCTTTAGGGCAGTTCGGAAAGCGCGAAGGTCAGGGATCCGCCGTATCTCTGGGGGCAACTCGTTCCAGAGGGTAGGTGCCCCCACAGAGAATGCTCTCCCCCTGGGGGCCGCCAGCCGGCATTGTCTGGCTGACGGCACCCTGAGGAGGCCCTCTCTGTGGGAGCATACTGGTCGGTGGAAGGCTACCGGTGGCAGAAGAAGGTCTTGTAAGTACCCGGGTCCTAAGCCATGGAGCGCTCTAAAGGTGGTAACCAGTACCTTGAAGCGCACCCAGAAGACCACCGGGAGTCAGTGCAGCTCATGCAGGAGAGGTGTTACATGGGAGCGCCAAGTCACCTCCATAACCACCCGCGCGGCTGCATTCTGGACCAGTTGGAGCCTCTGGGTGCTCCTCAAGGGGAGCTCCATGTAGAGAGCATTATAGGCGGGATGTGACGAGGGCATGAGTGACTGTGCGTAAGGCATCCTGATCCAGAAAGGGCCGCCTGGCGAATCAGGCGAACCTGATAGAAGGCCCCCCTGGCCACAGCCGTCATATGTTCTTCTAAGGACAGCCGTGAATCCAGGAGGACGCCCAAGTTGTGAGCCCTCTCTGTGGGGGCCAGCGACTCGCCTCCAAAAGTCAGTGCTGGTACCAACTGACTATATCAGGATGCCGGAAGCCACAGCCACTCGGTCTTGGACGGGTTGAGCCTGAGCCTGTTTCTCCCCATCCAGATCCGTACAGCTTCCAGGCACCGGGACATCACATCAAGGGCATCGTTGGGGTGGTCTGGGGTGGAGATGTACAGCTGAGTATCATCAGCGTACAGATGACACTTCACCCCAAAACCACGAATGATCTCACCCAGCGGCTTCACATAAATGTTGAACAGGAGGGACGAGAGAACCGACCTTGCGACACCCCACACACAAGGTGCCTCGAGGTCGATCTCTGTCCCCCTGTCGACACGAACTGCGACTGGTCAGAAAGGAAGGAGGAGAACCACCATAAAACGGTGCCCCCTATCCCCAACCCCTCCAATCAGCGCAGCATGATACCATGGTTGATGGTATCAAAAGCCGCCGAGAGATCTAATAGGACCAGGACAGAGGAACAACCCCTGTCCCGAGCTCTCCAGAGATCATCCACCAATGCGACCAATGCCGTTTCTGTGCTGTGCCCAGGCCTGAAACCCGACTGGAACGGATCTAGATAAACCGTTTCCTCCAGGTACCTGGGAAACTGTCGTGCCACCACACTCTCCACAACCTTCACCACAAAGCGAAGGCTGGAGACAGGATGGTAATTAGCTAATATAGCCGGGTCCAGGGAAGGCTTCTTAAGGAAGGGCCTCACCACCGCCTCCTTCAAGGTGGCGGGGAAGTTACCCTCGCTCAAAGAAGCATTGCAGCCAGCCTCGTGTAACCTCCCGGGAGGCCAGTACCAACCAGGAGGGACACAAAATAACTTTTGATCACAGAGCTGTGCCTTTCATGGCCAGAGAAAATTCCAAAGACCCTACTGCAACCCCTTGGGGTCCTGGAAGAGTGAAAAGGCCTGTACTCTCCATTCAAATAATTTTATTACATTTTGCAAAGCATGCACATTTTTTTCTTGTTCAAATAATTTTATTACATTTTTCAAAAGACCCTATACAACTCATCAGCAGCTCCATACCTGGGTTTGGCTTCAAGGCCAGCAAAGCACTTCATCTCTTAAGACCTAGAAAAGGGAGCAGCTACCCAGCAAGGCAGCTTGAGCTATTTGGCAGGAGCCATGAACAAGAGACTGGGATTTACCTCACCCGCATAACGGTGCCCATCCACTGTGTGTTCGGAGCCAGGCCAGGTGTGCCCCGATCCCCAATGCAGGTGCAGCTGGGCTGCTTGGTACGGCTGGGGGAAGCCACCCCCACTGAGTGTCATTTTCTTGGGCAGACCTAGAAGAACTGGGGAAGGAAGAGGATGATTTTCAAGACAGAGGGGAGCAAGGGGATCTTGCTATTCCAGTGCTTCATGCAGGAGAGAAGCATGTACCATTCCATTACCCTCCACCTAGAAACAAACAACCTACTCTCTAATAAACAATTTGGTTTCAGAAAAAGATTATCCTGTAATCTACAACTTCTACACTGCAAAAGCATATGGACTACAAATCTTGATCAGGGCAAAGCAATAGACACAATTTACATAGACTTCTGTAAAGCCTTTGATTCAGTGGTACATGACAAACTACTTCTAAAACTAAAATCCTATGGCATCTCTGGACCCCTATATAATTGGATAGCTGCATTTCTGTCAAACAGACAACAAGTGGTCAAAATAGGGAGCGCCCTATCAAATCCTGGACCTGTTAATAGCGGTGTCCCCCAAGGCAGAGTTCTAGAACAAACACTCTTCATACTATACATAAATGACCTTTGCAATCATATTATAAGCAACTGCGTTCTTTTCGCCGATGATGTAAAAATATTTAACACCACCAACAATGCTGCTACCCTTCAAAAAGACCTTGACTTTGTATCGGAATGGTCAAACAATTGGCAACTCCAAATCTCAACCAACAAATGCTCTGTCTTACACATTGGCAAAAAGAACCAGAAAACAAAATACAAGCTGAGTGGACATGATCTCGTAGATGACCCTCACTCTTTCAAGGACCTTGGAGTACTCATATCTAATGATCTAAGTGCCAAAGCCCACTGTAACAACATTGCCAAAAAAGCAGTAAGATTTGTAAACCTAATCTTGAGTAGCTTCTTCTCCGGTAATATCACACTACTAACCAGAGCATAAAAATATTTGCTAGACCAATTCTCAAATATAGCTCATCCATCTGGAACCCACACTGCATATTGGATATTAATACAACTGAACGTGTCCAGAAATATTTTATAAGAAGAGTCCTCCACTCCTCTGCTCGCAACAAAATACCTTATGCCACCAGACTTTGAAATACAAATATGGTTAGAGGGAATGTTGCAGCAACATACAGAGTTAAAACCAGAGATATTCTTATTGGGAATTTTACCAGAGAATTATAGCAAAGAAGATACATATTTGATTATTCATATAATAACAGCAGCTAGAATTGTATTTGCACAAAACTGGAAAGCAGATAAAATTCCGTTGGAAGGAGATATTATAAAGAAAATTTTAGAATGTGCAGAAATGAATAGATTAACATTGAGAATAAAAGATAAAGAGGAGTCGATGTATTTCAAGACATGGGATAAATTTTATGATTGGTTAGAAAATAAATATGAATAAGGACATAGAGATAAAATAGAGAATAGATGGGAAAAACAATTAGAAAAATAGATATCCAGATGATGCCAAGTAAAAGGAGAAAGGGGGAGGTGGGGTAAAAGGCAAAAAAGTGAGATATTATACAAATGTACGCAAATGATGAAATAAAACTAAATAATAATTGAATAAGAAATTGACATGAGAATAAAGATAATTAGGAAATCGGGGCTGCTCGAATACCACTTTAGATTGAACTGAAAAGGGAAACAACAGGAGAGAGGGGAAGGAGTAGAGAGAAAGGGAGGGAAAAGAGAAGAGAGGAGAGGAGAAAGAAGAAAGGGAAAAGGAGAGGAAGAAAAGGGAGAGGAAAGAGGAGTAGAGGAGAAGATTAGAAGGGGGGAAGAAGAGAGGAGTGGGGGAAGAGAAGGGGAAGTAGGAAAGAGAAGGAGAGGAAGAACAAAGGAAGTAGGAGAAACAGGGGAAGAGAAGGGGAGGAGAAGAAAAAAGGTTGGAGTAAAGGTAAAGGGTAAAAGAGCAGCCCCGAAAAATTAAAAATTAAAAATGAAAGTTAAAAGAAAAGATGAATGAAAAATGATGGAAATGACTGTACATGTAAATGTGTTTATGAAAAATAAAAATAAAAAACTTTAAACTTCAATAGATACAAACTTAAAATGAACTGCTCCAAACTCGATTGCAGAAAATATGACTTCAGCAACAGAGTGGTCAGTGCCTGGAATGCACTACCTGACTCTGTGGTTTCATCCCCAAACCCCAAAAATTTTAACCTAAGACTGTCTACTGTTGACCTCACCCCATTCATAAGAGGTTTGTAAGGGGGTGCATAAGCGCATCAGCGTGCCTACCATCCCTGTCCTAATGTTTCCTCTATTTGTATCTATTTTATGTATCCAATCCATGCTTATACTTATATATATTGCCTAATACAGTCTTGACAAATAAATAAATAAAAAATAAAATAAAAAATGTCTTCCCAGCATCTCATGCTTGGGACAGCACTTAGCTAAACCTTATTCACCTGTCTGCAGGGCAGAACAAACAAGTTTTCCCCTTATACTTTCCCACCTGTCCATGCCCATAACATCACTCAGCTCAGCTCCCCCATTTCCCCTCTTCTCAAGGCATACAGGATAGAAGTAGGTGGGCAGGGAGACCTCTATCTAACTGCAGTTCCGCCTGGGAACCTCAGGCTTGACTCTGGCAGCACTGTGGGCAGCATCAGAGTAAGTTACTGGAGAGACTTTGAAAAGAAGGCCTGGAACCTGGCACATTATTAACTCAGTTCAGGGCTCACCTCCTAGGCAGAATATCCAATGTGATATTCTGGAAAACCTTATTGCAAGAAATATCCTTTCCAGGTTCAGTGTCCCCAGCTGGGTGGCTGTTATCACCCAAAGAGCCATTGTTGGACCTGGGAGCTAAACACCCAGTCCTGCTTTCTGACTAAAGACTCACCATCAACCTTGTGGAATTTATTTTTCAACTTGCAGAAGGCAGTGGGCAACGGGACAGGATCCCAGCTGCTAAAGGTGGTTGACATACACAAGATACTGAATCAAGTGCCAAGCACAAAAGTTTTTCATTTTGTGGAAATTTCCCCATACTCAAAGTGATCTTGAGATTTGTACTTGTGTTGCAGTGAAGTCTATGCAGAGATCTCAGCTACCAAGGGATGGGCCTGCCTAGAGCAAAATCCCAGGGAATTCTATTCTGGGGAAGAAGAAATAAAGGAGACCCACCTGTGAAAAAGTAGATCCAACTGTTCACAGGTTCCTTGTTAGTGCAAACCTCAGCGCCTTGAATAGCCTGGGCTACTCCAGGATTCCTAGGGCTAGTGAGGGGAAGGCAAAGTGAATGGACTATGTTAACATGGGGGTGCCTCTGGAAGATCTGAGTACCCAGATTGGGCACAGATCATCCTGAAGATGATCTATGTGGTCACTAAAAATCAACAATAACTTGACAGCATATAAACAGCCTGTCAACTTGCAAACCATCCCTGGCCTGCTCTCAAGTTGCCATAGGCAAGGGGGATGGGAAAATTGACAAAGTACAGAAAGAAAACAAAACACATTCTCTTGGGTTCCAGGTGGTAAGCAGCAGGAAACCCCTTGCCACTGGGTTCTCTAGCCTGCCAGGCCTTGACTCCCATTTCCCAGAACAAGGTACAGTACACTGTTTGGACCTTGCAGGGCAAACTCCGTCCTTGGGTAGAAGAAGTGGGGTCAGGTGCTCCCGTCTCTGAGAAACCATAACAGAACATCCTGACAGGGAGGAAAGTGAATGGAGGATATTGTGTAGTGGGCTTCAGTAGGAAAGAACCAGACCAGCATAGCTACAACAGCATTTATTGACTCAAAACTGGAACTGAGGAACAGCAGGCAAATCAGAGCTGGTATTCAATCGGTTTAGATGAACCGGTAGCAGTAATTTTACCTGGTTTGGTGAACTGGTAAATACCACCTCTGGCTGGCCCCGCCCACACCCACCCGCTCACCACTCGCACCTGGCTGCTCATCACTCGCCCTGCCCGCCCTGCCCTATATGTGTTGCCTTTGCCATGCGGCCCAGCTAATCACCTTGCCAGTCGCCTCGCTGATGCCCACTCAACTCGGCTCATCAAAGGTAAGCAATGAATGCCACCTGCTCGCCCTTCACCTTTGGTCAGGGGCTGGGGCCTCAGGGACGCACCATTCTCTGAGGCCCCGGAGCCGCTGCCCACTTCTTTGTGCTTCTGTGGTAGCATCGTCTACCAGTAGCTGCTGGTAGGTCTGGGCGAGGTCTAGCTTAGTGAAGATTTGGCCTCCCTGGAGCAAGGTGAGGATGTGGCTTACCATTGGTATAGGGCAGTGATGGTTAACCTTTTCGGCACCGAGTGCCAAAACTGGAGTGAGTGCACACACCGGAGCACCAGAACCCAGGAAAAAACTGGGCAGTGTGCATGCACGCTGGATCAGCTGTCCGGTGCACATGCATGCGACAGAACCCGGAAGAGCAGCTGGCGATGGCATGCGTGCCCACAGAGAGGGTTCTCCGTGCCACCTCTGGCACGCGTGCCATTGGTTCGCCATCAGGAGTATAGGGTAAGCATGCTGCTGTAGTGCTTTATTTATGGTGCACTTGTAGTCTGGGCAGATGCGAACATCCCCATTAGGCTTAACTGGGGTCACTATGGGAGTCTCCCAATGGCTACAGTCCATAGGTTGGAGCACTCCCTGCTGTACTAGCTTGTCTAGTTCTGCATCAATTTTAGGCTTCAATGCAAAGGGAACCCTGCGTGGTTTTAATCAGATTGGAGTTACTGCTGGATCAAGATTGAGTGAAATGGGTGCCCCTTTGTATTGTCCCAGCTCAGCACTGAATACATCAGTGTATTGTTGGAATACTGCTTCTAGATCGGCTATTTGGGTTTGATGAATGCTCATTACCCTGATGCCCAGGGCCTCGAACCAGTCATGCGGCCCCTCTATGAGGGACTATGCTGAGGGGACCCTCAAACTCTAATGGTAGCTTTGCCCCTTATGGGAACATGGTGACTCTGGAAGTCCGTTAGCACTAAACTTGATGATTTGAGCAAGACTTGCCATTGGCTATGTTTGCAAATGTGGTCGAAAGTCATGGACAATATAATGGACAGGGCCGATCCAGTATCAAACTCCATGGAGCATGGGACCCTTGA